ATAACCGTTCAACATAAGACCTAAAAATTTTGTTTTTGTAAAAGTGCAAGTAGTTAATCTTTACAAACTTGAGCACGAACTTGAACCTGCCCATTATATAAAATAATAAAAATAACTAGTTTATATTATGCATAACAGAAAAGGAAAACTATTATTAAAAGATTTTACTGAGAATTATTTGTGCATGACACTGGTGGAGCTGGAGGGCATTAAATCACCTGAAAAATTAGAAAAATAGAAGTTGTGATGGAATAATATAGAGCAGATTGCAACAAATAGATAATAAATAAGTTAGAGTTACTTGTCTCAATTTTAGAACAAATATACAAATCTTCAACCATGTTACTGTTTTTCTATCAATTCAAATTCAATTTTGGGTACATATCAAAGCTTCGAACTCCTAGAAGAATCAAGAATCCTCCAACTAATACTAAATGTTGATTCAGAAGCTACAGTCGACACTGGAACGACCAAAACATTTTGGAAATTTTTTTATAAAACTTTATATTTAAAATCATTTGCTTTCCACCATGCCAAAACTTCAAAATTATCATCAAGTTCTTCATTGAGGTCAGATAAATATCGATCCACGCCATTCTTTAACTCTAATGAATTTTGGTTTTCTCTTCTGCTTTTGTATTGTGATAAATACTCAAAATGTATCTAGCCAAGGGACATGAGCTGAAACGGTGACCTTGAGTTTCTGCCACATTGTTGCACAGGGGACAACTTGTTAATCTAGCAAATAGCACAACAATATTTCTTCAAGAAATGCTAGAGATTTTTAATATACTTTTAATTGCAACTTTTCTCCATTTATTTAGTGGTTAGTGTGGGAGCTGATGTTTCTAAAATATGCTTTTACAGGCAACAATTCTGAGACCTGCAGGTATGATTGGTACAGAGGACCGTATTATGAATACATGGGCACATTTTGCTAAAAAATATGGCTTTGTTCCCCTCTTTGGAGATGGATCTACAAAGTACGCATTTCATATCACATATTGTATTTATCAAAATCTCATATTGTAGGTATTGAATGGTTAGAATTTTCTGATTGTTATCCTTCCTAACCACCAGCGCATTCCTTGCAGAATCCAACCTGTGTACGTTGTTGATGTTGCTGCTGGAGCTGTTTCAGCCTTGACAGATGATGGAACCAGCATTGGAAAAGTTTATGAACTAGGTGGTCCAGAGATCTTTACGGTCCATGACTTGGTATGTTACTTTTTTCGAATATCCTTCCTGCTCTCCCCTAAAGAAAAAAAGAAAAGAGGTTTCCTTTTAAAGCTTCATGTTCTATGCAGGCAGAAATTATGTTTGACATGATCCGTGAATGGCCTCGCTACGTGAAAGTCCCTTTCCCTATTGCGAAGGTAAAATCAGTAGAAGTTGATGATGATGTGCAACGTTGTATCTATGCTTTTCTTCAAGTTCTTTTTATATGTCCCGCTGTATTCCTTCGTTTTGTTGATCCATATTTGTTACTTGTTGCCTTTTCCCCCCTAATAATTGCATAACTTGGACTATGCCAGATGATTTTTTTTAGTGATGTAAATTAGTCATGGTATACTTCTAGAGTTTTACTTGCTTATGCATAGCACAGCATGATGATCGCTGTTTTACTTGAATCAAGAATGAAGTTCCTCTGGAAATCATCTTTTGTATCCAATTTGGATAGGATATTCTTATTTATAGCCTTAAAAATTGAACCTTTTGAAATCATCTTTTGTATGCGGTTTTAATGTGGATCCTATGCGGTTACTGCAGGGGTTAGAACGGTAGCTATTATCAATGTTAAGAAGAAAATAAGTGGCGTTTATTTATTAAAGAAACTGCAGTCTGATGATAACAGAGATCGTCATTTGTGTAGGTTAAATGGAGATTTATTTCTAGAACCCATTGATGCATATAATTTAAACTTGTTAATTGATAATTTGAAGACTACTCTTCTGATATTAATGCATTAGTATAATTGTACAAAACAAATTAAACCTATTGAAGTGTAAGTTGCTCATTGAGATGTAACATGACTCCCCCCTGTGATCCTTGCTGTTGATGTTGTTTAAAAAACTAAAAGCTGCTGTTTGGCTTCAGGCAATTTCTACTCCCCGCGAGATCCTACTGAACAAAGTCCCATTTCCATTGCCAACGCCATCCATTTTCAATCTGGATCAGATCCTAGCTCTAACACAAGATACAGTTGTTTCTGAAAATGGTATGCACGCCCCTCCTTATTTTGCTCTGCCAATAAGTCGAGATGTTCCCTAATACTCTTTGATCTTTCAATTGGATATGCAGCATTGACATTCAGTGATCTTGGGATTGCACCACATAAGTTGAAGGGATATCCTGTCGAGTTTCTTATATCTTTCCGTAAAGGTGGCCCGCAATTTGGTTCGACAGTCAGTGAAAGAGTGGATCCTGATTCTTTTCCAGGCTTCTCGAGATAATTTGTATTAACTTAGTTGAAAAGGTTTGAGAACCGCCTGGTTTATGTCTCCATTTGATCAACAAATAAAATGGAGAATGTTTTTGAGTTCAACCCTCGTGTATCCTAATCTTCTTGATTCATGATTTAGAATTCACAGTTTATTTGGTGTTGTAATTAATAAAGGCTGGGATGCTTGGCTACAGCATACTATGATCATAAAATGTGTTTTTTCAGGAAAAAGAAAAGAACAGAAATGGGAAGAAGCCCGGGAGTTTTGTTCTTCTTTGGAACCAAACTAACGCATCACTTCATCAAATTCCCGAGCTATGAAGTAGTAATCGGCTATATAGTACGGTTAGGATCTCATTGCTATCTTTACCATCTTTTATTTTAGTCTTATAGCATTATTAGTCTATATGCTTCTATGGATGCATAAATTTAGTCGCAAATATCTTTACCGTAGTATACTACATTGTTTCAAACATACTCCAATTTTAAAATTTCTTATAACAACTTTGAATTTACCTTCAATTGGGAAAGATCCAATTTGAAACAAAGAATCATATGGGTACTCTTATATTTTTCCAATTTGTCCCATTTTTACACCGATTTTCAAACATCATGTAGCATAAAATCCGAAGTTCCAAAATCAAAATCTCCCAAGTTCTTAGTGTCTCTTTTTGAGCATTAAACTCAACCATGCAAACTCCCAAGATCCCTTCGTGGGTTTTATTATCCTTTCCTATATACTTTGAGTGAATGATATAGTTTAGGATAGAATTGGATGAAGAAATGGTTTAGGATAGAATTGAGTTGAATGAGTAAGAAATGGTATGTTGGAAAGTTGAAGACTTCGCTTTGTTGAAGAAGAAGACATAGATTCCAACAAATTCTTCATCCATCAGCATCAACACAGTATTGATCGTGATTCAACGCAGAACAAAATTGGCCAAAACAGGTCAATCTAATCACAGAACAGACAATGAGAAGCAGAAACCGTATTAGGCGATTTTCATTTCTTGACGAATTGCAAGCCATTGGCGTTGGAGTATCGCTCCATGAATCTCATGAACCTGTCCCACTCCCTCGGAGTCCGCATCACGTACTTGGCCTCGATTCCCGCAGGTTTTCCATTAATGAACTTGGCGTTCACATCCACGGACTGAATCACACCTTCCTCATCGATCATGTAGAATCCGGTAATGTCCCCGACCTCCCCCGACGAGTCGAACACCGACGGCTGCTCGAACTTGAAAATGGCCATTCCGTTGGTGCCGTCTCGGGATTTGGTCAGCCTCACGTCCGGCACCGTCTGTTCGTCCGTGCCCTGGATGAACTGAATCTTCGGCAGAACCATGAGGATCGTATTGGACAGCCGTCCGTGGGGTTTACATCTGCGGCGAGTGACCGTCTGGCATTTGCCGCCAGAGACGTTAAGGGAACGGCCGTGGAATGCGGAGAAGGCGCTGCTGTGGAGTCTGGCGGAGGCAAAAGCTGCTGAAGAAGAGTGAGTTTGGTGATGATGATGAGAATTAGGGTTGGGAAAGGGGAATGCAGAGAGTGATAGAGTTACCTTTGGTGTTTGTGGATGAAGGATGATGCAGATGGGGAGAAGAAAGGGAAGTGGATGCGAGAGATTGCAGAGTCGCCATTGATTTTGAAACGCAGCCAGCAGAGAGAGAGAGAGAGAGATAAAAGGCAAAAGGAAGGGAGAATGATGTGGTGTGAAGATTGGTAAGGTGTGTAACCACGAGAGCCATTCACTTCCATTTCAATCCCTTCCTCACCACCCTTACTCTCTACTAACTTTATTAATTTTGTGCCTATAAATCTTTTTTTTTTCTTTTTTAAATATATTTACTCGGTGGAATAACTTATTTTAAAAATATTTAAACTTGAAGATCAACAAGGTGGCGCCCATTCGACCATGTAAGTATTATAATGCGACCAGAGAGAACGATATTAATTCAACACATACGTGCGTCACACTGTGGACGAACGTTGCAAACTACCTCTAGGACCTAAGCGAACTACCATATGGCACACATGTGTGTCATGTGTCATAGTGTGGACGAATATCGAACGACAAGGATTCTGTGCCCTGATTCATGTGGTGGGGAACGTATATGCACTAGCTATTTGTGTAAATGATTGCATAAGTGCAAGAGTCTTCATGCTTTGATGAGAACTTGGATATATGGATGTTTCGAAAGTCCCGATGAGATGAGTGACACATGAGTTGATTCCAATATAGATAAGATCGAGCCAAATGATACGGCTTGACATAGATACAAGTCGGCTAGAGTCACATACAATTGAATATGCATGCACAGTTGATATGACCATTTCGAGCTTAGAAATTCGCCATTTTCATGTGACTGCTCTTTTGCATTCTAGGGAATTTCCATACCATCTTCACTGCATAAACTTGTCATCCCAAGCTTTTATCCATGAATTTTAGTTTGAGTATCATAATTCATAAGCAACACATACAAGAATGACGTATGGAGTTGAAGCAATATGTTACAGATTAAAGCGGCATGTCAACAAGTGTTCTTCTCATGGGTATAATGAAATCTCACAAAGTGGTATAAATGAAAGTTTATGTCAGCGCCCATAACATGAACGCTATCCATACAAAAAAATGAAATAAAAAACAGAGTGATTGATGTTAGCAATCTTGTTGGATAATAATCTTCTAAGCTGGTTCCACAGAAAAATATTATTTTGATGCGTATAACGAATATTTTAATCCTTAGGTCAGCTCGAAATCATGTCGGGACAGAAAACTAATGAGAAGCTGCAAACTTACTAGCTGACTTCATCTCTTCTCTGCCGTTGGAGACTGACAATCAGTGCATGCGACACAAGGAGCAGCAGCAGGGGCAAACTTCTCAGTGAGATTAATACGCAGTGTTTGCTGCTTACCTTCGTTTTCGGGAACATGTAGGAGAGCATCCATGATCAGGATGTCCCAGTCTCGTGGCCGGAGAAACGATATCCAGGAGTCCTCTGTTGAGAATACAATTCAAAAAGCATTATAAAAAGAATAAAGACGAGGTCGACCTTTCTCGCCCCAAAGAGTAATATAGAACAAGATAATAAAAAGTTGAACAAGGACCTCCATTACGAACTGCCTTCAGTTGGACGATCCCCGTGCCTTGTGGTCCTGATACCGGAAACGTGCAGGATAGAGAATGTCTCTTATGAGCTACTGCAAGTGATGCATTGTACCATGGACCTTTAACAATGGGTTCTCCAATAGCATCTATAATTGCTTTATTGTTCTTGGCTTTCTCTATGGCTTTGCTGGAAAAGTAATACAATAGGAAAAGTAATACAATAAAATCAAATTATTCTAATGCCAGCAATTAAAAGAAAATTGCTACAAACGTACACACGTAAAAGCTTCTCATTCTTAAAGTATTACAAAGCACCAGTTCTTAACCAATGTATTTAAGGTACAATGCAAGATGCAAGCATAACTTGAGAAAATATATTAAATCTATATTATACAAACAAGGATATTAAATGTTTATCTAAGAACCCATGAAACAATCAGACCTCGATTCCTCATTCTTTTGCATTGGTGGAGCCCTTTTTTGTATAGTTAGTCAAGTTATAGTTTGGCTCCTTTTTTGTATGCTCTTCTGTATTAGAAAAGCTCAGTTTATCCACTAAAGGGAAGCACGAGATCTTTTGGATTTGCTGATTGGGATTTCTTTATGTCGAATGGTGTGAAGAAAATATTTGGTAGGAGACAGAGTGTGGGGTCAAAGTCCGTCTCTCTTGTCTGAACTTTCCAATGCTTTTAAGTTTTAAATGATATGCAAACAGGAAAGTTGGTCCTAGTTCAGTTGGTTCTAAGTCATGTTCCTATTCATTCCGAAAATATTGATCAAATCTAGGGTCTCGTTCTAATTGTAACAAGGTAGCTAACTTATTGAAAATGGTGACCTTAGTTATATATAATACAGCAAGCCAAGAAAAGAAAGGCTTTCAGGTCAAAACGGTTATAGATACACCAAGCCAAAAGTGTGCTGGTGAGTATTCATTGTAAGTCTACCGTTAGCAAATATTATCCTCTTTGAGCTTTTCCTTCAAGGGCGTCCCCTCAAGGTTTTAAAACGCATCTACTAGGGAAAAGTTTCTACACCCTTATAAGAAATGTTTTATTTCACTCTCCAACCGATGTGGGACCTCACAAAATCTGAGTAACTAGGCCAATGACAAAGATTTAAAGCCCCAACAAAAACAGAGCAAGCAAAGTACGCATGGGTAAAAGAAAGCAAAGAAAAAGAATTCTTGCATTCTCGTCCCCAAGGTTGATAACTGAACGCTTTTGGTAGCAATGATGTAAACATCACGGAGTATTAGAGATATTATCCTATCCAATTCATTAGTTCATCTAAAGTGAAAAGGCTTGGTTTAAAAAATACAATGACCTGAGTAATGTAAAACCATAGCCAATTTTAAAGGTTGAAAACAACATAGCAATGGTGAGAGTTTCCGAAAACTTCAAAGCACTAATAAGTGAAACATGGCAGAAAACAGTTGCATAAAAAGCAACCCCAAGATACATAGTTTATTTTCTCCAAATTCAGACTTCCATTAGCATAAACGATATAATTCATCCAAATTTTGAAAATCCCTAACAAGTCAGACATACCTGCTACAGCTATGATAAATGGCGAGGTCATCTAAAGCACTCAAGGCTACACCACCAGTAACAGTAACAAGTACAAAGGAGACTGCTTTGCGACCCCAGGATTTATTCACCCCTTCCTCCGATGGCCTTACGGAACTGCTGCAAGCAACCCTTAATCAGAGATCGCCAAGTTTCATTCTATCCGTTACAGATCGATGAAAAATCTTGTAAGAATCAAAGCCCAACATCTCCTTTTCCATAGAAAACAAAATAAAACAGTTCCAAGTTCTAAACGAACATATAAGGCGAAAATTAAACCTGTTATACGATCAAAACATGTAAAAAGTGAAGAACCTAGATGTATCTCTTTGAAAAAAATGCGAGCAATCAATTCCATGTTGAACGGAAGCTCGTGGATGAGTTAGTAATTGTTCGTGTAACAATCCGAGAAATGGAAGCGTGAACAAACAGCAGAAAAAAACGAGAATCGGAATGGCAAGAAGGACGCACCTGGAAGCGTTCGGAGTTGGAGAGCGCTTGAATATGGAAAGGAACCTTTTCGCCAGCATTTTCAGCTTGTGGGGGGTTCTTCGCTCCCTCAGCCGCTCAGCGCTTCCACTCTTCCGAGTACCAAAATGGTTCTGCGGCGCTTTCTCGATAGAAATTTTCCTTTGAAAAAAGAAAAAAAGGAAAAGTGTCGGCTGATTTTGAGCAGTTTGTCAAATGAAAGATAAAAATCAAAACTTGAAATTCCAACCCTTATAATTACAAAATATAAATAAAATTACGTCGAATAATAAATATAATTAAAAAAATTTATTTATAAAATATTTCTTAAATAATTTTTGAGCTCGAGATGGGAGCATCATGAAAAGCATAGGAAAGGGAAGTCTTGGGTGTTTTCCCGTGAGGTTTAGGTCTCCCACTCCTCATCTGCATCACAGCTACTTACTTCCTCTTCCATACAATTCTATCTTTCCATTGATTTCAATACTCAACGATCAAAATTATGCTGCTCAAAAGCTCTTCTACGCCGCTTCTTCGCTCTCTTCTCCCGCCGGACCACCTCCATCACCACCATGATGCCGTCGGGAAACACTCCCCTTCCCCCTCCCCCTCCCCCTTCGCCTTTCGCTGTAACAATAAACCCCTTTCTTTCTCCGACCACCATCGCGCTGCTCCCACTGGCTTTCGGAGAACCCACTCCGAAGGAAATTTGATTACCCTTTCCCATGCTTCTGATGTAATCGATGTCCATGAAGACCCTTTTTCATTTGATTCATTCAATTTCAAACCCTCCAATAAACTCAGTCACAGGCCTAACCGCTCCATTCTCGAGACCATACCTTCGTTTTCCTTCTACGGTTCCAGAGCCAGGACTGAAGAAGAAGATGACGAAGACGATGATCAACATGCTGATCCGGAGGAAGATGAAGTTGCCTTGGAGAATTTTGGCATCCATAACAGGATGGACGCTGCCATTGTAACTCCGGAGGTTAGGGCCATGGAACAAGCTTGGACTAGAATGAATTCAGGAGATGGGATTGGGTTTGTGGGTGATGTAAAGAAAGAGATGCATCTGGCGAGAGGGCCAGGTGGTGGCGGTGGTGGCGGCGGTGGTGGTCGACGGTGGAGTGGCGGAGGTGGAGGGGGTGAGCAGCATGGCATGGAGGAGCATTACAAGAAAATGGTAGTGAAAAATCCAGGGAATGCTCTGGTTTTGAGTAACTATGCGGAGTTCTTGTACCAGGCAAGATCTAAGCTTGTTTAAATTTCTCTCTACGTTATTCTTTACTGTCACTCACCCAGTCCATCTAAGTAAGGGGTTTCCTTTCGGTTTTTGTTGGCAGTGGAAAGGAGACCTGCGAGGAGCGGAAGAGTATTACAGCAGAGCCATTTTGATGGATTGTTCCCAAGACGGAGAAATTTTATCAAAATATGCGAAGTTAGTGTGGGAGTTGCATAGTGACCAGCAAAAAGCTTCATCCTATTTCCAACGGGCTCTCCAAGCTTCTCCACATGACAGGTAACTCCTTTAATACTCTCTCAACTGTTCTACAAAATGAAAGCTTAAATCATAACTCAATCCTCAACTCAGTTGTGATATTATGTGAAGTATCAGACGTTTCCATCATTCTAGGCTCCAATTTCCACGATTTCCACTTAAAGAATAGTTTTAAGTTCATGAAAAATCTGAAAAATCAAATATGTTATTACAATTTTTTGTGGATATCGTAGCTTTTTCTAATGCAAAAGAAGTAATATTACTTGATTCTTCAGCCATGTGCAAGCAGCATATGCTAATTTCCTGTGGGAAACAGAAGAATATGAGGATGGACGCAGCTTAGGAAAAGAAATGGCAACAGACTTACACGGCAGCTGCAACAGCTTGACATGAAAGTGAATGCCTGCTGCTGCTGCTGCTGCTGCTGCTTCTTGTGGCTTCTGTAAGCATTTTCAAAGTTGTTCCATGTCTGCAATGTAATGAAAGTGAAGAAACAAGGAATAGAATAGCATATAGAGGAGGCAGGGCATAAGTAAGCAAGTTGAGTATAAGATTAATGAAAAGGATCATTTTCTAAGTCTCTGTCTCTCACATTGCCTAACAAGTGCTTGTATTTGAGAAATGCCAAAATTTCCCACTTGAATTGCATCTCAAAAACCATCCAAGTGAGAAAATCACCACCATCTTATCTTAATAATTAATTAATCCCTCACAAATTAACATTTCCAGTAACGTCAACTCACACACTCAAAACACAGTACAAACCAATTTCCTAAACCACTCACACCAGAGACGCTGGCTTTCTCTGAACCATCAATCGTAGTAACCACCTTCATACCAAAAACTCTAACACAGTTTCGTCTCCAAAATGGTTATGCACAAACTGGATGATTGATGATACTATTGGACCTTGTGATAACCCCGCTGAGGGAAGCCATTGCCTCTCAACCTACCGTAGTCACTGCCATACTGGCTGCTTCCTCGTCCCAAATTACGAGAACCAAATCGTCCTCTGGGGGCGTCTGACTGAAAACTTCCTCTGCCTCTTCCCCTTCCTGATCATGGCACCAATAAAATGCATCAGAAAGCATCCATGTTAGACGATGCAAATAAATCATCATTAGCAAGAATTCTGCTACTTTTAAGTAGAAGTAAAACCATATATAAACTGGACTGCAGTAACGATTATCAATACAGAGTTGGCTTATAATACAACTGATTATGTCTCAGAGTTACACTTACTTCCTCCCCGTGCACCACTGCTGTTTGGCCTTCGTTCCTCAATGTAGACTTGCCTTCCAGCTATTTGAATTGGAGATGCCTGTAGCAGAATATGACGACTTATATTTTACAAGGGAAAAATAAAAACCAATTCTAAACGGCACACAACATGAGAGAAAAGACTAGTAGTGTTGAATACTCGAACACGTTCAAAGCACTGTCCAGAAAGCCAAAATCGTTTGAAATAATTACCAGGGCTAGGTGCAATAAAATTTTTAAGATCAAATAAAAATTAATTCCTTAAAGAATAGGAAAGGATAGGGGGCGGAACCCTATACAAACTTGGTTTTTAAGTGTGGTCCAAACCTTTAAGGCGTTTTGAACACCAAGAATATCTTCAAACTCAACGAAAGCATAACAAACCCCAATTTCCTGTACAAAGCAATCTATATTTAGCCAATAAAAACTAAACAACAACATAAATATATATATATATATATATATATATAAAACTGACCTTTCGAGACCTAATGAATACACCATCAGGCAGAATTCTGCCAAAAGCTTTAAATTGTTGCTCAATTTCAGATTCAGTTACAGAGGGCGGCAAGTTTCTTACGTAGACAGATTTTGGTTCACCTGAAGGCAAGACAACACAAAACTAATCAGATGCTTTGGGAGTGAAAATCACACAAAGTACAAGAGTCCTTTCACAACGTTTTGACACATAAACAGTTCAAACAGAATGCAGAATGTCGTACTACAAAATACACCTAAGAACATATGTCATGTAAAATTTCATGTGAATGTATCGATCCTGGACACAACAAACAAAAAATAATTAAAATTCCACGGTATAACCAAAAGATCAATAATCTCACGCCACATTATAAAGACTGAAGTACAAATAGAAAACAATAATGAAGTCAAACTATTGCAATGATTTAGAATCAAAGCACCATTATTTAAAGATGAATCAAGAATTTGACCTTCATCTTCGGCACCAAAACCTTCTTCAAATGTATCTGCTCCAGATTCTGGGGTATATGACGATGCAAGGTTTATCTGTTGTGGGGTAGGTTCTGGAGTATGGTTCCACTCGGAATTAGCTGGAGCACTTGGATAAAATGACGGTTGGGGATTAGCTGATTGTGCAGATTCCGCTCTAGCAGCTCTCAACTACATAGTAATAATATTATCAACATAAAAGAAAACAATCCCACATTTGAAACACAGATCAATCCCAGTTCAAGCTGAATGACTGGAAACAAGGACAGAGGCCTAAGAAGCCTTCAATTTATGACAAGGATGAAAGAAGAACACAATAAATATAGCTTTTCAACTTTTGTTTTCCTCAATTTGGTTAGGCTTCTGTTATACTCCGAACTCCACAGATTATTATGTAGTCAGTCACAAAAACTAACTAATAAAGGATTATGGCTTGATGGCATATTTCCATTGCACACACACACATACACACATAGCATACAGACACAGGCACCAGCACTAGGAGCTATGGTAGAGTGCACATACAATGGAAGCATAAGTTCTCTTTTCTGGCTCTCCAACGGGTTCATCAACTACTGCAGAATGAGGCTCCTCTACGCTGTTATCTACATTTTGATGCGAAGCAGCAAACAAATCCTCCACAGGGGCCTCCACCACAACAACTTCTGATTCAAATTCTTCTTGTTGCTGTTGCTCAGGAAGGCTGTATTTATCAACTGGATCATCTTCTATATGAATTGAGTCCACATACTCCCTTGCATTATTCTCCAAAACATAGTCGGAAACTGCCAAAACAAAATCAAGATAAGTATCAACTTAACCTACCGAACTGCTCAAGTCAATCTAGCTATTAATGATCTGCGTAGAAACTATTTCAGCAACAAAAAATTTCACTTTCAGCTATTACTAATCTTTTAAATCTTCTAAAAAGTTTATGTATACAAGTTGCTTCAAAAGATCAAATGCACCACATGAAGGGAAAAGAATCCACTATCGATGGCTATGATAGAAGTACTTTTGATAGTTTTCTCTTCTCCATCTGTAGGTAAAACTAAAAACCGAAGTGGTTTGTTGCCCATTCTTCAACAATATTGACGAAGTACCTGGTGGCTCTGGTACGGAACTGGGAGCATTAAGTTCAGCTTCAAATTTATTCTCTGATGGTACAGGCAACAGATTCTGCTGAACTATCTCCTCCTCAATGAAATGAAAGATATCATTAAGAACAAAGTAACCCTTCTCTTGAGGAGCAAGAAAAAATGTCTGAACAAACTTCCTAATCCCATTAAACTCCTTTGACTTTGCAGAACCTGAAACCACAACTAGGATACCCCCATTCCAAGACTCCATTGAGTTGATCGTCTTGATTGAAAATGCAGTGAAATTTAGCGACATGATAAGCGTATGTATTTGCTGCAGAAGAAAAGCTAGAGTAAGCAACATGAGAATAGCAGTAACAACTGTTTACGTCACCCAGGTCAGAGCTTGTCACAACA